TGTGGTGTATGGCCCATTAATTGCTTACACAGTGGGCCATATTTTGTTTGGATTGTTTGGATATCAGATCCACTCTTAGGTGAAGCAATCATTATTTCATGGACCATGGTCCACACATTTGTGTGAACCATAAATAAAAAAAAAATACATTTTTAATATACTAAAAGTACATTATTAGTATATATAAGGTACATTATTTAAAAGTACATAATTTTTTATATATTATCAAATAATGTACATTCAAACACAAATAATATACTTTTAGTATATTAAAAATAAATATGCATTTATGATCCACACAGTTATATGAACCATGTTACACACAAATGTATATTACGAGGCCCACTTCTAAAAATAATCATTAAGATATACTATATATTTTTATTTATATGTACTTCTTAATAATTAATAAATTATTGTTATAAAAATAAATTGATGTTCTAACAAATCATTTTATTATCTAAAGTTAACGTCTAAATTACCAAATACATATCCACACATAACTAGTACTACCAATTGCTCACATTTAAATTAGCTAACGCAATCATCTAATAACTAATCCAAGTCGTTACACCAAATAATAAAACTAAACTAAGCTATAAACGTGGAAAGTTCATGTTGGTCCCATATGGGGTTTTGAGTTAACTACTATGTTGTTGGTAAATTTTTACAAAACAAATAAATGATTTTAATTAAAACACAATAATTAATAATGATATAAATGAATGTTTCCAACCCAATTATTAATTTAAGTGATTTGACATATCATTGACACAACATATACTTATTCATCACGTGTAAGTTAGTCGCAAATGTACATTAACTCCTAACTCGCTTAATTTATGGCCAATTAAACCTAATTGATAGCCTATATAGGCAACCTAACCCCATAAAAAACGTATGACTGTATGAAATTCAATGTTCAATTTCATTAAGTTATGTGAATTCTTAATATACACAATAACATTCACATATATTCAATTTGTATTTATATTTTTGTAGATGATTTGTAAGCACGTAGTTACTACATAAATGAAACCACAGTCAAATGAGTAAGAAATCATATATCAGTAAATCACAATAATAATTAATAAGTATACATACATATTAATTAAACTCTTAAATTCAATAAACATTAAACTACAAAAAAAAAAAAAAATACTATAAGGTGAGATTGTTAAAATAATATGAATATACAAATTCCTTGTTATCTCATAAAATAAAATAAATCAATTTAAGTACGTAATAATTAATTCGTCAGAACAGTTATGAAAATATTCAAATACTAAACATGATATGAAATAAGTGCCTAACAATAACTAATCGCTAACTAACTATTAAGTATTAATAGCTAATTGCCAATTATCAACTCTACCGGAATATTAGGATATACTCCGTATCAAAGTAGTAGTTGGCTTTGTAACTTGACAACTTGCTCCACAAAAATTGACATGACATGATAAGAGTTGTGATTTAAAAAGGCTGTTTCACTTCTATCAATCTTAAAAAATAAAAGATAAAGCATATATATATATATATATATATATATATATATATAATTTAGGTGATCACAATTTCTTCCGACTAATTATAAGCTCACATAATTTTGTCCCTAAAATCACTGCAGAGGTAAATAACAAGTTGATAATTAAGTATTACTTCATCTGTCTCATTTTATCTGTCCTACTTACTATTCATCGGTCAAACTAACTCTTTTATATTTTTTTTAATAGTATTTTTTACTTATTTTTAAATTTGATTTTTTTTTTTTGTGTTTAATAAAATTTTTAGTGTAATTTTTAAATATATAAATTTTGTATATTAATAATTTAATACTAAACTTAACATTATAAAAAATTAAATTAAAAATACATCCAGTCAAACCTCGTTAATCGAACCATACACATAAGGATTGGGAGAATATTAATTTACTATGTGTACTTTTAATCTCTACTTAGTCACTTTTACTTATTGATGTAACAACTAATAATAAATTATTTCTATTTTGTGGGTTTAAAGAAAATATATACATCAAAAATTTAAGTGAAAAAAGTAAAATTATAGAGTTCAGATAACATTTTCTTTGTTAGTTAATGTTACGCTTTTCAAATCCTTTGTACTGCAAAGTGCAAATTCTCTCAAATAAAACAGAAGCCAATTAATAATGATAATTAAGAGTCTAAATAAACATATGCACAACAATACTTATCACAAACAAATTATTTGGGATAAAATATGAACATGTAATTCAAAATTCAAAATAAAATAAAAACAAAAACATTTTTGTACTGTAAAATTCAGCTGCAAAACACAGAAGTGTCACATCAGAACGGTAACTATTGGAAGATACATATGACCGCAGCATATGCTACACGGAGTACTAGGTAACTGCTTGGTTGAGTAACGTTGTACCGCAACGACAAACTGCGATGCCCGATTAATCAGTTCGTTTTTTTCGGTAAATCCTAAAATTGCACTTGTTTCCCCTCTTTACCCTTTTTCCAAATCCAACAAATTCTCATCAGATTTTAAAAATGTTTGATGATCAATATTTTACAAACTTTGACATACTATATTATGAATTTTATAATCTCAGTAACTTGTTTCAAATTCACAAGGAAGTAAATTAGATAAATTAATATAATTTTGAGAAACATCAAAATGTACATTTATACGCATAAAGAACTCAACTAAAACATTCAATATTCGTAACAAAAATTAAACTCCACTTTGCCGCTGAAAAATAATTTTAAAGTAAGACTTCTCACTCATTATATCATTGTCATAGGGGCGTCGTCAGATTTTTATTCACTCAAAATATTAAAAAAAAAAAGTTATTTTTTTAATAAGGGAAAATATGCAAATATTAGTTGAGAGTGTATGTTGGATAAATTCACTGAAATTAAACGTGTAATTTTCAAATACGATAAGTATGTTGTACTCAATTGTTGACTATTAAAAAAATGAAATATTTTCCAATTGTACTGTTGCTGAAATTTTCATTGTACTAAAATTTATACAATTCAATATAGCATGGAATATGTATTTTAAGGTTCTATTATTAATTTATAAACAAACTTACGTTATAAATTGGGAAAATATTAAATAAATATATTAACTTGATCAAATAGTGTAATTAGATCTCTAATCAAATAAAGCTGCATTTTTTATTCCAATGTAGGCATATATTAGAGATAAGCTGAAATAGAGTCGGGAGGACTGGTCCCCCATTACATAGCAGTACGATCGAGTTGGCTCCCCAGTTGAAGATAAGCAATGCTGAAGACTTGAACAATCCGTTAGTAATTGAATAGACCGCTCCCCACGATTTCGTAACCAGGACAGAACTTCCTTACATGCAAAGGCCTCGGTGTGGTGAAAAGCAAGGAGGTAATATGGCATTGAAGGCCGCAACATAGTTTTTGCTTTCGTCGAAAAGTACCGCCCCTACCGTGGTACTCTTGGACGTGGGCATGTAACTGGCATCGAAGCGGCAGTGCACAATCCGGGTGGTGAACCTGTGGCAGCAGCTTGTGGCTCCAGAGTGTTGGTTGCGATAACAGTATGTGAAGGCACGGTAGCAGGGTCCAAAGGCCCAGCTTGTGGTGCGGCAATGACGACATTACCAACGGGTAAACTCCTTGTCTTGGCAACGAGATGGGCACCAAGCCATGCATGCATGGCGGTAGTAGCGGACGCCACAACCCTCGTTGGCGGCGGAATACATGCATCCCAGACCGCACCGTTCTTTGCCTTCCAAATAAAATATAGAATAGCAGTTGTGAGAAATATTTCATTAGTGTTTAGAGTACCCAGAACTTCTTCAAACCAAGAGTGCAAAATATTTGTCACTACGGTGGGGATTCGAAGGTGGGATTCTCTCCAAATGGCTATTGTAAACTCACACAACACCAAAGAATGCATTGTGTCATCATGCATGATACCACACATGGCACAATTAGGATCAACCTCCACACTCTTTAAATGCAAGTTTTTAGTAGTATGGAGGATATCATTCAAAGCTCTTCATAGAAAGGTTTTACATTTGAGTGAGCTTTTAAGATTCTACAAAACTTTGCAAATTTTCAAAAGTGTCTTCCCTATGAGCGAAATTCCCACAGATGATTCTATAGCCGCTAAATAAAGCTGCATTTAAATACAGTTACATTGACAACCAAAATAATAAAATAACAAAAATTAAATGAGTCCAAATAGCAAATAATAAGTCAATTAGTGTTTATGTAGTCTTCACAGTCTTCGATAATGATAATCTACAAAGAAATGTACTTGAGCGAGCTCAAATAACAAACAACCTACCGATGATAATCAATAATCAATTAATATAACCTTAACAAAATTGGATGGCAAGTTTTAATTCCAACATAAACGTAAGATATAAGTAACATCATATTATCATAAGGTTATCATGATGCTACTAGAATAATTCTTTAATTTTTTTTTGTACTCTTATAAAAAGACAGTTAATACAATTATAATAAATATAATAAATTTAAAGATATAATGTTGAATTATATTCTTCACGATGTATGATTTTGTATATGAGTTCAAATGAGAATAATGTCATCAATTTAATATTTAATATCATTTTAAAAAATAATGTTAAATCTCATTAATTAATAAGGAAAACAAAACCTTAATATATCTGCTTATTTGTTTTGTCGGCTCAATTTATTATTTATAATTAATTTTGATTAGTAGAATTTAGGAAGCAGACCTTCCAAAACCGGCGGCCGAGTGACCGACCCAAGTACCACGTATATATCATCATTGAAGGAAAATCCAACGGCTGAAATCGAAAAACCACTGTCTAATCCAACGGCATGCAAACCATACCCATACGCGTCATTGCATGAATCCTTCATTCCCATCTCTCTTTTAACTCGAACTCACATATACATACACTATATCATATCTTATTTATCACTCCGTATTTTTTTATTTTATATATAATAATATATTTTTGTATATTTATATATAAATACGTATATTTCCTCTAGGGTTTCAGTAGTTTGTTGGTTACAGGGAGAGAGAGAGAGAGAGAAACAGAAACAGAGCGAGTTTGAAGATGCAAACGGATAAAGGTCCTGAATCGCAAGAGAATAAACAACCACCGTCGCCGCGAGAGCCCGAGCACGAGGCGGAGAAGCATCAGGATGCGGAGCAAAAGCAGGCGGTGACGACGGGGGCTGGGGCGAAGGTTGTTCCGGTGGCGGCGGCGGCGCAGCAGCAACAGCCACCGTGGGTGCCTATGCAATACCCGGCGGCGGCAACGGTAATGCAGCATCAGATGATGCCGGCGACGCATTACCCGCCTCACTACATGCCTTACCACCCCCACTTCCTCCACCACCCTCCGCCGCATGCGCAGCCGCAGCAGCAACAGCAGCATGGAGGATCTAATGGCGAGAACAGAACAATCTGGATCGGTGACCTTCACAATTGGATGGATGAGGATTATTTGCGTAGCTGTTTCGCCTCCACTGGGGAGGTATAATCCTATAATCCTATAATCCTACATCCATATATTCGTATGCACTTTGGTTTCTAAATTTGGTTATTCCCCGCGTTTGTAATCTGATTCTATTTATTGGTTATTAATGTTGAATATGGATCTGGGTTATTTATTACTACTATTAATTGATCGGAGTTTCTAAACTTATCTTAAATTACAAATATGCAAGTAATGATGAAATAAAGAGGTTAATCCTAGAAAGCTAATGGCTTTTATTGAAAAAGGAGAAAACTTTAGCTTTCTTCTTGTTGATCTGCTAACGTGAGCATGATGTATTGCCTCATCTCTTTGGAAACACTATGTCAGTGTCTTGAATTGAATAGTAATTATAGTTATAGGATTCTATTTTTTTGAAAAGTAGGATTCTATTTGATCCTGTCTATTTTGCATTTAATACAAGTTTTTCAAGTTCGCTTATATATAATGTTGAAAAAATTATTTATTGCATCATAATTGTAATTAATGGAAGTGTTGTGTCTTGACAGCATGTTACTAAAAATGTCATTTGCACTCTGGTTTTCTGTCTAAATTTTTCTGGATGTAGTTGCAATTCTATTTGCACTAATAATTAAGCAGTTTGCATTAGAGCGACTTGCAGTCTCAAATGACACGGCTTACCAAATCTGTGAGAGAGTTTGATTGTTCTTTAGGACAAGATAAAATCACTGCTGCAAAATTTTAAACTTTCTGATAAATCTGAGTGCTGTCCTCAAAAGTTTTCCACTTACCAACTTTGCATTTTCAAAGTAAAAAACAGATTTTGGAGCCTACTAAGTGGCTTCATAAAAAGGATTTTAATGTTCTTTATAATTTGTGAGATTGTAAAAACATTTGTACCTAATGAGAAACATAGTGTGCTTTTAGTAACCAAAAAATGAACCATTTTTATGGAGAAATGGAACCTAGCTTGAACTGATCTACCTGGTGTCAGAACTTGGTAACAACGGTTCCTCATCCCCTTTTTATTTCATCGTTCTCAGCTTTGTTTCCCCCCTTTATTTCTTTTCATTCCCATCCGCCCCCCCCCCCCCCCCCCCCCCCCCCCCCTTTCAACAATTTCAGCACTATGGATTCTCTAAAATTGAATTTTGTAACAATTAAAATAACTTAATTTGGATAGTTGTAATTTACTAATGTTATTGTAGTGTTTATATATATATATATATATATATATTGAAAATTGAATTTGGAAAGTTAGAGAAATGTAAAATTGGAGAAATAGGAACCTGAAGAAATAGAAAACAGATAAATGAAATAAACAAGCCCTATACTTTTCCATCCCACTTTGATTATCCTATTTACTATTTATTGTTTTATTGGAAAAATTGGCTAAATTTAACTTAAGTTTTTTATACTCTTTATTTTTAAATCAAATGAAACAACACTATAATTACTGCAGAGTACTTTTTAAGAATCACAACTCAAAATTTTAAACAAAATATATCTGAAAACATTAGTCAAAATTATATTGTATTTACTCTGATGCCTCCCTAATCATGAGTAAATATAAATTTCAATGAGTACTTTGTCTTCGTAATGTTCTTCAAAATTTATGTTGCTTGAGTTTTCATTTCAGCATCATGATTAATAAGGAACAACTGTCCCTATTAACTTAGCAAGATTTTAATTTTTTTGCTTGACAAGTAACAAACATTTTCATATTCTGTCGGATGGCACAATGAATTGTACATCTAAACCTGGTTATGATTTTAGGTTTTCTTTGGAGATTTTTATATGATGGATGTTATCTTACAAAACTAATTCTTGCTAACATGAAAATAATTGTTTATGCAGGTTGCATCCATTAAGGTGATCAGAAACAAACAGACTGGTTTCTCAGAGGGATATGGTTTTGTAGAATTCTATTCTCATGCTGCTGCAGAGAAAGCTCTTCAGTCATACACCTGCATTTTAATGCCTAATACAGATCAACTCTTTCGTCTGAATTGGGCAACATTTAGCATGGGGGAGAAGCGTTTAAATAATGGTTCTGATCTTTCTATATTCGTAGGAGACCTAGCTGCTGATGTTACTGATACCTTACTACTTGACACATTTTCTAGTAAATATCCCTCTGTTAAAGCTGCTAAGGTGGTCATTGATGCCAACACTGGTCGTTCAAAAGGTTATGGATTTGTAAGATTTGGAGATGATAATGAGAGGTCACAGGCCATGTCTGAAATGAATGGTGTGTATTGTTCAAGTAGGCCTATGCGAATTGGTGCAGCAACACCACGGAAATCCTCAGGGAATCAACAGCAACTTCCTGCACAAGGTATGTGTGTGTCCTAATAATTCTGAGGTCAGTATGTGTGTGTGTGTGTGGACTGACTGGAAATCAGAGCCTCACACTATGCTTGAAAGGGAGTTGTTGGGTTGTTGCAGAAAGGGTAAATAAAGATTTACTAGAAAAAAAAAAAAAAACATCTTCAGAGGTTCCATGGTCCATTGTTTTCTTGGGTGTGTGATACATGCTGAGGAAGTCTTATTTTATTATATTGCATAGTTTAAATATTAATAAATTACTAAATAGTTATTTAGAAGCTAATAAATAGTTATTTAGAAATTACTAAATAGTTAATTAGCTTATTACTCTTAGTCTTCAAAATTAGTTTAGGTAGATTAATTATTTAGAAGCTACCAAATAATTATTCTTAGTTTAGGAACCTTTGTAATCAACCCTATAAAAGGGAGTGTTATTTGGAATAATAGAACAAGAAAAAGTTTAATCCCAAAAAGGGTCTAAGGGAGTTTTGGGTCTCAAGCAAACCCAGTGTCTTCTTCTCTTCTTTTCCTTTCTTTTTCTTTACGTTTTCCTGCCCATGACGGGAGCACATAACCGTGTGGCATAGGAATGGGCAGTGGGTGGCTTTAATGCACATATTCTAAGTTTTTAATCCAACAATTGGAAGGTTGTTGGAGAACCTTTAGAAACTTTTGCTGACTATTTTAAAAACACCCTCTTGAGATTCTCACTGATTAAGTTTTGAAGAGCAAGGTAAAATTGCACACCTGATTTGTTTCCTTTCTGTTTCTTTCTAGTATCCCATTTCAATATGCATTTTTAAGTGGCTCTTAGACTTCTGCTGATTAGAGAAAGCCATGACCATAATTGCATTATTGACTTCAAGCAAATTTTTTTCTAGCTAGTCACTTCAATGGAACAAGGGAAAATGGGTTGTCATTTGATGGTAGTTACCAATCAAGTAGAGGAAGGCTTTACAAGCCTTGTTTGAAGAAGCTGGATTATGATACATTATGAAACTACATCGTGTCTCAGCTACTATTTTTTTTTTTCCTCTCATAAGATAATAATGTTAATCACCATAATGACTGGTTTAGGTGTATTTGAGAGAGATTAAAACAGTAGACGCTCCAATTGCTTTCACAAATGCACTCTTAGTTGGGAATACATGCTCTACATGTCAGGACAGTAGCTTTTTCAGAAAGCTGCAGGCGTTGGCATAGAGAACTTTGTCTCTTATAAGGATTACTATGCTCTAGTTTAACTGACTTCCAATATATTTGATGCAGTTATGCTAATGTTTCTTATACATTAAATTCCAGTTTAGGCATGTAGATCTGGTACACTTGTATGGAACCTAATATTACTTGGAATGTTATTGTTCCTTTACGTGTTAATTATTATTTGGACATCAAATTCACAGTATTTGCAGTATGTAGCACTCAACTCTACTATGCCTTCATCAATGGTTTGACTGTATGGATTCTATTTCTCCATCCACAGAATCCATTTTTTTGAGAAGGAAAAATTTTGCATTCTGTAACAACATACTATAATCCTCATTCTTTACTTGCACTGCTACTGGCCAAGTTGAGATTTGAGAACAACTTGGGCAGAGTTTGCAGTGTTTCCATATTCACTTTCTAAAACTGGATATATGGTAGGTGGATATTCAAATGGTTCTCCAGCCCATGGGTCACAATCTGATGGGGATTCTTCTAATACAACGGTTGGTTGCCTAACTTTTTTCTTTTGGCTATTGTGTTTTTTTTCCCATCTTACCATCCTTTGTACTAATGAACTACCCTCATAGATTTTTGTTGGAGGTCTTGACCCAAATGTTAGTGATGAAGATCTTAGACAGCCTTTCTCACAGTATGGTGAAATAGTTTCCGTAAAAATTCCAGTTGGAAAAGGATGTGGATTCGTGCAATTTGCTAACAGGTGTTCTTTACATATCAAACAATTTGTTGAATTATTTACTGTCATTTTTTTTTCCCGCTAGAATGATCTAAGTGAAAATTTGATCCATCTTCTTGCAGAACTGATGCTGAGGAAGCATTACAGAAGTTGAAAGGTCTTGTAATTGGAAAACAGACCGTTCGCCTTTCTTGGGGACGAAATCCAGCACATAGACAGGTAATGCCCCTCTACCCATCTCCCCTAAACCATCCCCTTTATGAAGGACAAACATGTTGTCAATGAATATACTTCTGCCATGTCTGAATAATTGTGATAGACTAACATTTGTTGTCTTATTAAGAAATAATGAGAAAACTTATTAATAGCACTAAGATTTTTTTTGCAAATTTTAGAGGTTTAGGTGCGAAAAGGTTACTAGAGCCACAAATTAAGTATTTACTTAGATGGCCAAGCACCTTGTGCACAGATGGCACCCGGGTTGGACTCCCATATGGGAGGTTATGAGTTCGAGCCTTAGTGGAGGCGTTATTGACTCTTTGTACTTCAGTAGGTTAAGAAAGTAGTTATGAACAGATACTACATTGTAATAGAGTCAGTAACATTCAAAAAAAGGTATTTACTTAGATGTGTTGTTGCAACTTGCGTCACTAACTTCAGGCGTTTGAACTTTTGCAGTCGAGATCTGATTTCACGAACCAGTGGGCAGGGGCGTACTATGGAGGACACTTCTATGATGGCTACACTTATGCTTTCCCGGCCCCCCATAACCCGAACATGTATGCCCCAGCAGCCTACGGGGCTTATCCAATGTACGGAACCCACCAGCAGCAAGTAAGCTGAATGTCTGCCCAGGAAGACTACTTACAGTTGAGATGGCATTTCTGGCCATCTATTTGATTCATTATTTGGGCATGTAGAATTTAGTTAACCCTCCAAACCAGGAGTGGCATTGAATTTTGACGTAATTTAGGTAGTTTACCTAGGAATTCTATTAAACATTTAATTATAAGTTTGGACCAGACATAAAACTTCATTGGAATAAATATTGAGCTTGCAACATTATGTGGTTCCATATTATTTCCCCATGCTTCATTAACATTACTTTATTGTCCTTTTAACATAGATGGCATTGGCTCTGTTTACTGATAAATTAGTTGCAGTTGATAAACTAGTTGGTAATTAACATGTTAGTTGATCCAGAAGAAAGTGGTTCAGATCTAACTTGATTACGGTGACCATCTAGAAAAAAGAGGTTCATATCAAAGAGAATTATGCTAAATTTATCCTTGATAAGTTTTTCATTTGGGCTAATTTAGTGTAATTTTTTTTTTTAAATTATTTGATTTTTTTTTGTTAATATTTTTTTTTAATGTGATGTAAAAGTGTGATAAAGTGAGGAAGTTTTGCATGGATGTAGAGAATTGTAAATTTGGTGATGTAAAAGTCCATTGTTATAGGTTAATATTGCATTGTGAATTTTGGTCCAAAAATTATGTGTTGCCACATTTTGTACATTTTTGTTTCTGTATCTAGAAAAAATAGTTCAGACGGAAGTAATAAAGGTGGTTATTGACTAACTTTGAACCTTTACAAAACAAAAGAGATTTTTAGGCTAAATTTATCATTGATAAGTTTTTCATTTAAGCTATTTAGTGTGATTTTGTTTGTTAATTTTTTTTTTTGAATGTGATGTAAAAGGGAGAGAGTTTTGTATAGATGTAAAGAATACATATGTAAAAATGTGCTGAAAGAGATAAATTTATTTGATAAATAGTGTTGCTATATTTCGATGATAGAGACAAATTTCTTATTAATTTTTATTTGATACTAAAAAATAAATAAATACGTAATCGAATAAATTTTATAGATTCTTAGTATACGGAAGAAAACGAATCAAACCTCCCCTAAGGATTAATTTTTTGTTGATATTATATAATTGGTTTCTATTGACCTTGTTTTTGTTTTGTTTTATTTTTTTTTAAATAACTTTTTTTGACTTTATATAGACATAAATGTGTAATTTAATTATTTAATTATCAACTTAAATTTGTACTGAGATTAGACACATACATTAATTTAATATCAAAACTAACCAGAATAAAGTTCAAATTGGCCACTGAACGTAACCTGAAAATGTAATTAGGCCACTGAATGAAAAAAAAAAAAAGTGCAATTAGACCATTGAACACCTCAAAAATGTGCAATTAGGCCACTGAACACTCCAAATGTATGTAATTTTACCGGATAGCAGGTTACCATCAATTTTAGCAGGTTACTTGCTTACGTGGTAGCTTAGTTGGCATTTTTAATAATTTTTTTTTTTAAAAAAATTATATAAAAAAAATCCATGGCGGCCACCCTATCGTTTTATTATTTTTTTGTATTTAATATTTTTCTCAATTTTTTTAAATTTATTATTAAAATTTATTAAAAATTATTAAAAATGTCAACTCAATATTTAATTTTCAATTTTTTAAATTTATTATTAAAATTTATTAAAAATTATTAAAAATGCCAACTCAGCTGCCACATAAACAGATGACCTGCTAAAATTAATGGTAATCTGCTATCAGGTAAAATTGCATAAATTTAGGGTGTGTTTGGTTCGCACATGGGAATCGGAATCGGAATGGGTATCAAATACTTGGTAATGGTAATGAGTTTTGGTGAAAGTAATTAACATGTTTGGTAGTAGGGTGGAATGAGAATGATTACTAATAGTAGTGCTTGAGAATGAATAAGGGAATGAAACCCTTATTTTATTTGGGTATGAATTTTTCAATTCATGGGGTATTCGAAACTCATCGTAGTGTTCTAAAAACTTATCAACCAAACAATAACAATCACTTTTATACCCATTCCTATGGACAAAACCCATCAACTAAGCACACTCTTAAAATGTTCAGTAATCTAATTGCCATTTTTTTTTTTCATTCAATGGTTTAATTACATTTTCAGATTATATTCAGTGACCCATTTAAATCTTATTCCAAACTAACCTCATATCAAAGTCACGAAAAGAGTCAAAGTTTTACAACAAATGTGAGGCCTACCAAGCGCTCTCTAAACGGTATTTAATGTTCGGTGCCCACATAGAATCTTCTGTTGAATTTTCCAGTTCTCTCTCTAAAAATCTTTCTTAAAAAGCTTTCTCCATTTCTGGAGTCGGTTTCTTTGACCACTAGTCTGGGAATTTTCGCTTTCATTTATCAGTTCAGTTCAGTTCAGTTCAGCTGTAATTGAAGCTGTAGAAGGAAGTTGATATAGCATGGACGGGAATAATTGGAGGGCGGCGCAACCTCTGGCTGAGCCTCAGGGTGGTGACCCCATCGCCATTGCTGCGGCGGCGGCACCGGCTCCCGGAGCTATGGAGACGGGCGATTGGCGGACTCAATTTCAACCGGAGCACAGGCAGAGGGTTGTCCACAAGATGTAAATTTTGCGCACTCTTATCAAATTTCTGTGCAAACTTGGCCGTCATACGTTTGCGAATTGGAAGCCAATTCTAGAATTTGGATATTTGAAAACCCTAAATTTGCTGGTTCTCGCCATTCGTAGGCTTCTTCTTAGTATTTTAATGGAAGCTATCTGTCGGTACTGGTATCATAATGCTATCTGTTTGATGGAGCTAGCAGTAAATACTAAATTCTAGAGTTGGGGGATTGATTTATTTCACTTTTAAGCTGCATACATATACATATACATATATATAAGCCTGATGGAAGTTTAATCTGGTAATTTCAAGATTTTTAGGCCGCAAAAAAAGTATACAGTCATATTTTACATTGGCATGGCACAACAAGTTCCAAATATTATTTCAGAAAACTACATGTTTGGGCTTTAGGGAGTCCATATTTATTGAGTTTGTTTTTGGCAATCATATACACTATAAAATTATTCTATGCTTATTTGGAAGAGCCCCAAAACTTCAATATTTGTTTCTTGTACTATCATATCTGAGAAGCTATGCTCACAAGAAGAATTCTTTTCTTCATTCTAGGTGGGGCAGGGCTGGGTAATATATAATCAATATTGATCTCTTTGTGATGGATTTTAGATGTAGTTCTCTTGTAACGGTGGATGGTATCTTTATCAACTTTTGTCATAACTGATATATGAAATATGATGGCTATAGAATGGAGACTTTAAAGAGACATCTTCCCTTCTCTGGAGTCGAGGGACTACAGGAACTTAAGAAAATTGCAGTGAGGTTTGAGGAAAAAATTTATACTGCTGCAACAGATCAGGTATGCATAATGTTTGTCATTTTAAAGTCATAGCCTTTATCTACTCAATTATTTATGTAGCCGTCAAAATGTTTATACAATGGCATGACTTTTAACCATCATGATCAACATAATTTCTCTTGCAGTCAGATTATTTGCGGAAGATAACCTTGAAGATGTTATCTATGGAGACAAAATCACAAAATCCCATGGCTAATCCTCTGCAGGCTAATGTTGCCAATAGCAGTCAAAATCCCTAAGGAACAGGTAATATATCAGGATTTCTTGTTCATTTAATTTGTGACCAAATTAATTGTTCTAATGGAAGTGGTATTGGTTACTCATGCTTAACTGTTGGGTAGAGAAGATTACTATTCTTGCATATGTTATTTTAGTATTTTACTATGACAACTCTTGTAGAGAGATTCTTGTTTCCTATTTCCGGTTGTTCTTTTAGGACTATAAATTTTTATATCTTACTGGGTTCTAAAGTAGGGTTGCTTTGTTTTATGGCTGCTGTGTTTGTTTCACTATTAAAATTGCTATGAGCCTGAGGCCTCAGACTCATATCTCTGGACATGTCTCTTGATGCCTTTCTGTAGGTTCACATCCAATGCAACCCCAAGCTAATAACCAAGTGCAGCAACTTTCTGTTCTTATGGTAACCAATCAATCTCAAGCCCGGCAGCAACTACTTTCCCAAAATATTCAGAACAATATTACATTATCTAGAATGTCGAATTCTACTAGTTTTTCACGCGCATGGCGCGAATGTGAACTCTTTGTTTTGCAAGCGTATGTTGATATTTGGCAGCGATTTTTTTCTTCTACATGTTTCATGTGTTGTGATATGTGTGTCGTGTATTCTCATGTGAAAGTATTGAACAAAATATTAATATTTATTATATTTGTAGAAAGTTCATGAGTAATACTTCTTGTTCTAGTTTTATAATTTGTTTACTTGATAGTAACAACAATGACTCTGCATCTAGTTCGAATACTAAGCGTTTTTGTTGTCAAGGTTGATGTTGATTTTGCCTTTAATCAAATAGGTTTAGTATAGAAAATGAGATGAATTGTAAATTTATATTAGTTGTAATATATTTAAAGAATGCATAATAAGCATTTTACATACCAGATCAATGAATGTTGTAATGGTGGCTATTTTTGAAATTTTTTTATTTTCTGAATTTGCAAGATTGATTGTAGCATTATTGTAGTTTCGACATCTTTTCCATGCGTATGTGTATCAAGATGTTCTTGTCCTACATTAGCATTTTTAATAATGAATTTTAAATATAGCTATGTAAGATAATTATCTAATTACTATTTACATATTATTATCAATATAAAAAACATACAAGTCTTTTAGGTGTTCTATTTGACATACTTTTGGTTCAACCATTATTGTCGAATGAGTTCTTTTAAAAAGATAAATTTTTAATTTTTTAATCAATAAAATTAGATAAGGTAGTAAAAATTAATACATTTTAAATTATTTACTTTTAAAGTGAACAACTGTGTAATCCAGAGATATTATGGGGTAATATTTCACTTCAATTTCTTGGATTATTTGAATGCCCTCTATGTCAACAAATTCTCCCCAAATAGTTAATATGATTGTATTCAAACTGTTTTTCCCATGCTATTAATAAAATATTTGGTAGTAAATGTATAACATATTTTGTATCATAAATTTGATATTTAATTACAAGATAGTGTAAAAAGAACAATGAACAATGTAGTAAATATAATTAAATAATGAATTTGAAGGTAATGAATATTTGTCTTGTAAAAAATAAAGATAATATAACTAATAAAATTATATCTCTTTTAAAATTTTTTGAATAAAGACATTATATACATCTAATTTTAAATTAAAGATGTCCATATGTATTATTTTTGGTTGTATCTACTAGTTTATTTAATTTGATAAGAATAATAGAGTGTGGTATTTACTTTTCATGCACAACAATGAAGTCATTGATATATTTTTTTTTTCAATTGGTGACAGATTGTTTTAGGAATTTGTCAATGACAATTGCTATAATTGGTGTCGAGGATGATAATAAGTAATTCAAAATATATTGTTATGGTAGATATTGTTATAATGATATAGTAAAAATTAACTTCCAAATTTATTTAGAAGTTTTCAATAAAGTTTTGAGAATGATGTGTAAACTTGTTCAATTGGAGCCAGTGTGATATCAATATTGTCAATTCTTTGGACAATAGTCCTACCGTTTAGAGTCCAGGTGTAAGTGTATTTTTGAACAACAATTTTATAATTAGGTCGCGTATGTCTGACAATGATGTAAAAACAATTTTGTCCGATAAAAAAAATAATATTACAATATTGATATAGTAATGTACAATTGTACCATTATATGAATACAAACAAAAATAATAACACCATAATGACCCAAATTATTCCCAATAACGTAAAAACATAATTAAAATATTGAGTCTTGTTCTAAATAATTAAACAGACATTTTTTAATTTTCATTATAAATTTAATTTTATTGATTCTTATTAGTATATATATAATAGATAGATAGATATATATTGTCTTTTTACATGAAACTTCACACAAACATTAGATGATCATATATTAAAGGTTTTTTTTTTTTTTTTTTTTTTTTTTTTTTTTTTTTTTTTTTTTTAACTCTATAAGTTAGGAAAGTTGATTGTCTCACTTTGCTTGACCTTGGAGAGACAGGCAGTTAGGCGCCCTACTGCTTCATCAAAGGGCGCACATCATTTCGTAGTATTGTGGAGTATAAATTTCAATTTATTTTCATTTCCACATTCGGTACGGTGGGCCGGCTTGCCAAGACTGTTAGCATGAAGAGCAATCATTATATCATGAATTATGATTTATTTTATAATACATATTACTAATATAAAATTTATTTTTAATATATTAAAAGTTTATTTTTAATATATTAAGTGTTTATTTTTTATATTAAAAATTAATTTTAAAAAATATATATTAAAAATGAAATTTCAGTAAATTAAATAAAACTTTTAATGTTTATATTATAATTTACTCGTTGAGAGAGGATGATTTGATAAATTCTACGCTTGTCAACTGTTATTTATGGGCCAGTTTCGCTAACTTACTTTATCAATTACATTTTTATTATTGAGTTATGAAGTTAAAAATACAATTTAAGATAGAAGAGACAAAATGTTAAATTTTATTATTAATTTTGATTACTTAGGCTTTCTAGGGAATAATAGTGAATTTTAATTTTAACAAGTCTATTACTGAATGAATCAAAATCTACAAATTAAAAATAGTAAGGGTGTGTTTGGTTGGTGGGTTTTGCCCATAGGAATGGATATGAAAGTGATTGTTGTTGTTTGGTTAATAGGTTTTTAGAACACTACTATGGGTCTCGAATGCCCCATCAATTGAAAAACCCATACCCAAATACAATAAGGGGGCGTTTGGTTCAGGTTATATAACATAACCAAGGGAATGTGACATTCCATAGCTCAGATTTCTATGTTTGGTTCATATTATCTGAGGGAATCTAACATTCCCAAGGAATGTCACATTCCCTCCACATAGGATTTTGAAGGGAATGTGATTCCCTTCAATTTCTTAGGTTATGTAAGATAACCTTGGTTATGTTAGAGATATTATAGTGTGTATAAAAGATAACCCTAAACCAAACATGATTATATTACATACCCCAATTTTAACCAAACACAGGAATCTAAGATTCCCAGTAATCTAACATTCCCAGCAATCTAACATTCCCTAAGGTAATCTGACATTCCGTGAACCAAACGACCCCTAAGGGTTTTATTCCCTTATTCATTCTTAACCACTAATATTAGTAACCATTCCTATTCCACACTACTACCAAACATGTTAAATACTTTCACCAAAACCCATTACCATTACCAAGTATTTGATACCCATTTCGATTCCGATTCCTATGTGCGAACCAAACACACCCTAAGAGCATCTACATCAGAGGAGAAATGGGGGAGAATTCACTACTTTTGAGGTCAAAATGTCATAGTGGCAGAAAGAGAATCAAGAGAGAGAAGGGATGGGGAGCATCTGCAAATGTTGAGATATTACTCTGTCCAAGAAAAAGAATTAATGATGGAGGGGAGAGAACCAATAGAGAAATGACATGCTTATTTTTTTTTTTATAAAATCAGTTTTGATTTTCTTTTTCCATTCCTTCCCACATTATTCTCTTTCCTACTCACTCTTACATTCTTCCCCTAATATCTCCAACTGATAAGAGCATCTACATCAGTAGATAATATGGGGAGATTGCAGCATTAATTCTCCCACTTCAAGTTTATAGCTAATGTAGGGGAGAATTCATCTGGGGAGAATTCATCTGCAAATTTCGAAATAATGGCAGAGAAAAGAAGAAAAAGAAGAAAAAGATAAAAAACAAAGCATGGGCTGCTGTGCGTGTTTCGCGCACAGCAGCCAGCCCACATGGGCGCGTGCAAAGCACGCGCCCGAGGGCGAGTCAGGCGCGCCTGACTCTTTTGTTTTTTTAATTTTTTTTTCGTTTTTGATTTTTTGATTTTGGTTTTTTGATTTTTTTTTTCTCCCCTTTCCACATTCTCTATCCTAATCACTCTTACATTATCCCCCAATTCTCCCAAACTAATGTGGATGCTCTAAGGATGGTCTAAGATTTATTTATTTTTTTTTTTTTTTGAGAGGTAGATGCTCTAAGATTTATAATATATTGAATATAAATGCTTATTTTTGCCCTCTAAAAGAAGCAAACAATCATTAGTTATTGTGGCAGTTTATTGTGATGCTACGCGTCATTTTCTCCATTGCTTATCTGACACGTGGGATTGGAGATAAATGCCTGATTCGTTAAAAGTACAAGTATTTTTTTAAAAAAATTTTCCAAGCCATTATTTTCATTCCGTATTATTTTAAGATTAATTATTGAAGTGCGGTTAGATTAACAACAGGTGGCCGTTTTGGGCGATCCAACCGGCAACCGCGCAACACGTTACCGTCGTCATGCCTCAGCTTTCGCTCTCCTTTCTCTCTCCTCTTCCTCCTCCCTCACGTCCCTCTACCACTCGTCTGCAAGTCCACCGGAGCAAAATCTCTCCTCGCTGCGTTAGAATTGAATCTTCTGATCCTTTAGTCTCCTCGGCTTCATCTTCCAAGCAGCCGGCAGTTGTCGTCACCAGAGAACGCGGCAAGAACGGCAAACTCATCAAGGCTTTGGTAACACATACACTCTCTGTCTCTCCTTCTCCGTGTATTGATAAGAGGATTCACATTTTCTGTTTAGCGGTATATTTTGGCGTTTTAATTCGGAAAATGTTGTGGCGTTGGTGAATCTACACTTGTTCAGTGATTGATTAAGTCAATGACTCTTTTGTTTTCATTTGGAGATGGAATTTACTGTGTGCTTCACTTGCCGTTTACTGAGTTGTGTAGAGATGGAGTATCACATTAGGTATTTGATCAAATGCCTGAACAAGTGAAGCTGTTACACTGTTGTTAGTTTGCACCCTTGACCTTGGAGTTTGGACAGATCAAATGTAAAACAACTGGCGAATAATAAAATGTGTAAAAACTATAAGATACGGCTACATCTATTTCATTTAGGAGTATACATATTTATTTGTTCCGCTGAAGAATAGAATGAAATTTGTTGGTCGTTTAGACTTTTTTCTTCTTTTAGATGGCTCTTCAGCTAAAAAGTACTCATGAACCTAACATTGATCTGGTGGAGCTCATTGATATATTAAATACTCCTCACTTTATTTGTACTTGTCCTTTTTCTTTTA